GGACGAATTTGGGGGGTTGCGGACAATGCTCCTCCTTTGCTGTTTTACACACTGCAGGATCTCATACAGAACATCACCTGTAGAAGAGAAGCATATGAAAATACAGGCATAAAACCAGTCAGCAAACTCTCTGTCTGAATGCACACTCATATCTACCTGAGCTGGGGCAGCGGCGTCTGAAGTCCTCCTTGGTGAGCAGGCACAGGGCTCGACCGTTCATCTCGAAGCGTCCCTTTTCAGGCCGGCGCAGTGAATACTCCCTCTGAGCCCACTGGAGCCAGTGGGCGACATCCTCCTTATCCCACAGAGATGGGTTTATCCCTAGAAGACAGACACACAGACTTAAAAAACACAGTTACAGGCAGCGTTTGTGCTTTAGTCGATGCTTTACTTTGCTGCATGTTATTAATGGAGTGGTGTCTTCCAGGTAACAGTTTGACTCACGCAGCCGTCCAGGTAGATGCCACAGGTCTTCCTGATTGGGTGGACTTGCCAGAGGAAGTTGGTTAGTGGGGGAGTGATGCACACTGAGAGGAATGTTGCTTTGTCTCCCATGCATTGTGGCTGGAGGACTGTTTGCTGTGTTTTCTTGCTGCAAAACATCCACACAAGTGCCCATGAGCACACATAACAGTGGTGGCAGGAGAGGAACAGAAATGCAGAGTAATTTTAAAGCCTTTATATTTGAAGTGCATTCTTAGTAGCCTAAACAGCAGCAGTTGGCACAGAATAAAATGAAAAGCTCTAAAAAAGTATCTACTCATTGTTTGCTTTATTTAAAGATTAGGCTACACATTACAACAGCTTCTTCCTTTGACCTTAACGTACCTTGATCGGGGAAATGTTCTCCATGGAAATGTCCTTTATCTGGTCGACTGTCCGAAAAAACTGGATGATTTCCTTGTAGGCAGACATATAGCCCGTCTGATAAATGAAATAAACCGCAGGTTAGACCTCTCCAAACTCCATACTGAATGAAGATTGAATAAAACTTTCGAAGAAATAAAACTCCACTATTTTCACATTCGACCCTTCCGGGAAATGAAAACGAAAGAAACATAATCCTTGCAGGGGGTGTGTGCGAGACAGGCTGATTGGAGGAAGCAGCCGCGGAGGACATTTCCAGCAGTATTTGAGTGCGTTTGATAAGAGCGCGACTCAGCAGCATGTTTATGGGAGCCTTGCGCAAAGGATCTCTCATAAATTAAATACGAAAAAAAAACAGTCGCAATGTTTTCGCACTTTTGCGCATTAAATGGCTGAATGAACAATTCTTGCGATTGGAAAATAAGTGACAGTGCCCAAAAAGACAGTGGGAGTGTGGATCAGTGGATGAGAGACGGAGCAGAGTGAGCGCGCCTGTAAGGCTGAAACAGTCCTCGGAGCTCCTCCTCCTCCTCCTCTGACTGACTGATTTACAGGAAGACACAACAGGCCAGCGCCTGAGGAACACGCTGCTGCGCAACAGACTGACAGAATCACATGCAGTGGTGGAAGATACAGCCAAAAGCATCCTTAGAATCTTATCAGCAAGATCATTTAAAGAAACAAAAATAAAAAGACTCATGCATAAAAAATATAATAGTTTTATAGATGATGTTTTTGGATTAATATGACCAGTGCATTAATGTGTATGTTGCATTTTAGTGCTCATTTTAACAACTTTATATACTGTTGGGCAGTTGAATCTACATGGTGTAATGAGTGGTGCATGATCAGCTGTAGTAAGATTCAATGTGGGTTCAGTGCTGGACCTAACACTTTCAGCGCCCCAGCCCACCATTCATTATATGCCACCTTACAGAAGGTTGCCAGTGATTGTGTGCATTATCGTGTCCAGTGTGTTCCCATTCATTATACCTACACTGTGTCCCATTCTGTTTTTGACTGCCTGAAAGCAGCGGGGATAAGGAGCTGGCCTTCTGTTTGTTGTGTCCTCATCACAGTGATCAGCACATCTGGGTGATGCTTCCATTCACATTTCCTACAACTGCAGAGCAACGCTGGCACACAGTCCCGCTCTTTTTATTTATAACTCTCTCTCCGGTGCTGCTGTAGCTGACCGGCACACCGGGAACTGGTAGGTGGGTCCTCCAGCTCATAGGCCCACAAATATTTATCCATATCTCATAATTATTAGACTTTGATCCTCTGCCTGACCCTCCCTGTGTCCAAGGCTATTCCTTTATTTTGAAAGGTCTAGGCTATTTAATTGTTCTATATCATCAAAGTTATATTATTGATATAAGCAGGGGATTTTAATACAAAGTGGTAACCACTGTATGTGAATGCAGGAAGGGGTCAGACCTGCGCAGCACTGGATTTGAAATGTTCTAAAAGGAGCCTTTGTGCTTTGATTACCTGCTGTGAAACATGACCCTCATCCATTGAAAATACCTATTAGTTCTTCTGAGGTCATTTTGGTGAAAGCAAGGCAATAGTAGTGTAATAAGTAACTTGTGACTCAACATGGAGAGAAATATTGTAAGCAACTTTCTCTTACTGTAATGCTCTCCACATACACCCAGCTCCATCATTGTTAGGCCTATGTCACCTATACAAAGATCTGCTACTGTCAGGGTTACAGCTAAAATAATACCTTATACAAAGTCAGATAACCTACACATACATCTATGGATAATAATAATTATTCCAGCAGAGCAGGTGGGTACACAAATATTGATAACCAAAAGTTGTTTAATGTGCTGATTGTAGCTACTTTACACACTGTTGGGTAGTTTAAATTCCAGCATTACATCATATTATGTAAAATCATCATATATTTGTGGCATTGCTGTCTTACAGGACTCACAGGTTCTCACAAGACTTGTTACAACAAGTCTGCTTCTCATGAGCTCAGATAGATACCCCTTTTTTCTAATAAAAGTACTTATGTAAATGTACTTAGTTATATACCACGACTGCTAAAGTGTTTAACCAGGCAAGCAGCACTAAAGACAAACATACTCAATATTGTTGATATTGTCAGACATGTCTCTTCTGTCATATTTCTTTAGTGATGTGGGCTGAATGAGTGGGGAAACAGTTCAGCCATCTGACACAATCAGTGGGCGGGTAGCTGGTCAATAGGTTTCTCACAGTGTGCAACCGGGTCCTTGAGGAGAATTCTGTGCAGCTGTGCCTGATCCAACCTGATGACACAGTGCTGGAGCTGGGTCACAGCCCAGGTCTGGGTCTGAAGTCAGCTGCCAAACTGCTCACAGAGCCCAAAGGCCACCTCATAGGGGTGGATTACTCAGCGTACATGCATAAGGTGAAGTATAAATACTGACAGAGAGCAATAAAGTTATGAAATTACATTTTTATTATCACATGCATGTCTTGAAGTCTGTAACCATAAAAAGAGTGTCTTAAAAGAACAAAGCACAAAACATAGTAACAAGCCTCTGTCTGCCTAAAAGAGGGACACTACAAACAGGCAGACAAAAGCTGAGAGACTTTATTTACTAGTCTGGGACAAAGTTGCATTTGAAGCTGGAACATTACTCACTTTTAGAATAGAGGAATATTTCTCTTTTTCTTCTCTTACAGGAGGCAAGTGAGCAAATGAAGGACCTTGTGGCCAGTGGGAAAGTGATCCTGCATCACTGTGATGTAGCAGCAATGCCTCTGGAAGACAACACTGTGGATAAAGTCTTTCACTGTAACTGCTACTACTTCTGGCCTGACCTCAGGAAGGAGGCCACAGAGATACACCGGGTAATGAAACCAGGTAGGACATGAGGTTTTACAGTAAGACAGACTTTATTTTCAAAGCACATTCAAATGTAATTCTTCTTTTCTGTCTTGAACCCACCCAGGAGGCCTGATGGTGACCACACTGAGGCTGTCTAACATGGCTGCTTTGGCAGCAAAGCAAGTGATGTAAGGGGAGAACTGGCGCCCGGAGGCCTACATGACAGCTCTGAGAGACTCTGGCTGATGTCAGGATGGAGGACAGACAGCTGAAATACATTTACTTTTTGCAGACTGAAATCAAACTAAGAGACTGTATATCTTCTATCCTACCTTTGTGACAGTGAGGTTTTGTATGATTACGTTAAATTTTCAAGTTTCACCTTGTGAAGATAGGAATGTTATAACTGCAGTTATAAACAAATACATGAATAGCAATTTCTCACTATAAGCACTATCAGTTCTCCTCAGTGGTAGTATCTTATCATACATGCTGAACATTTTACATTAGTTATATCAATGAAAGATGTAGTGATAATAATCCACACTGGGCACAGTACAGTAGCTTTAATGTTGGACATCTTGCATTACATTCAAACATTTCAGACCAAGGGCATAGGTTTTGTTTTAACATTGCAGGGGACACGTGAAATGAGGGGTTGAACATCAAACACTTCATTTCCACCAGTTGGTGCCTCTTTGCATCATTTTGTGGTGTCAATTTCCTCTGTTACTTTCACGGTAAGACACTTTGTTTTAAAGGTACATTTGTCATCTGAATAAAAACCTGTCTGTACGGTGATTTACAACCTAACTCCTAGTTTTTAACATCAAACAATATCCTACAGTCTGGTGAATGTTATGGCATCAGGTAATGTCTTTTCTGCATTATTTTGTGGAGTGAATTTCCTCCTACTTTCACAGTAAGACAGACTTTCATGTTGTTACTGGGGAGGACAAATCCATATGTTGTAAATACTGACCCCCCTGAAATCCACACCTATGCTTCAGATTGAGTATGCTGAAAACAGGACCCACAGCCACCTGTTAGTGGAAGTCATAAACTGACATAAAGGTCGGTGACATTTCCAAAAAACATAACTGCACTTGATGAGCCCGAACCAGCAGCATATTTATGAGAGCGTTGCATAAATTAACTCTTTAAAAATCTGACAGAAACTGCTGCCTTAGTTTCACAATATTGCAGTTAAATATCTGAAGGATGCTAAATAAAACAGCAGGGAGTGATTTAAATACAGCGGGAGAGTGTGTAAAGTGACCGCAACGACAGCAGAGAGCAGCGCGTGCGCCCATTTGGCACACACGGAGCTCCTCCTCCAACAGGAAGAAAAATACACCGACGTTTACAGGAGAGACACACTGCTACCAGGAACAAGCAACTGACCGACCAACTCGGTAAGGTAAGGGGTTTATCCAGCCGAGTGGTACTGTCAGACAAACTTACTCAACAGCGCAGCCACGATGGCAACACATGAAGTTTACTGTAGTTCACACGGCAGGGCGACACCTCCAAACTCAGAGCTCATACACCTGGGCGACTTGATACAACCTGTAACATCGACTATAAGCTTATAAAGTAAATATACTATATGACATGACATGCGTCGTGCCCAGTGTCAGAATAAAGTGACTCTGACAGGACAGAAAGCACACTGCAGTCTGTTGATTGGTCAATAGAGGACGGTCACTCTGCTCAGGGCTGAGTTGTGGCTGGTTTTGAGGCTCATGTAACCACTGTTCACACTGTGGAGAGTTATATTAGTAAACTGTAACTATAAGATTAAAGGATGTTTTGCTGCCTCTCACAGCAGCTGGAGTGAAAAAATAGCTTTATTCACTGGGCCGACAGCTGGCGACTTTTTAAGGTGGAACATTAACTTGTAATGTTACTCAATGTGTGAGGCAATGACGTGAATCAATCACCACACCTTGAATTTCACTGTGACAACTTTGACCATTACTGTATGACATACACTGTTAGTAAAGAGTGGAACTTCAAGCTTTTATATTAATTTCAACCGGGTTATGTGAACTGCATATATTCTAATCCTCACTATGAGAAAAAAAAAAGTGTCACAGAGTGTCAAGGAGTGTCATTCCTGTGGGCTCAGCCAACACTAAACCCCTGAGCTTGCCTGAGAAGGACTAAATGCACAAACTTGCTATTTTAAATATCCCATGGAGAGAGACTGCAGCCTGTTTTATTTTGTTCTGAAAATGTCGGCATGCAGCCTCGTTCTGTGGATGATAAACAAGGTGCAGACTTCCATCTGTGTCACCAGTAGTAAGGAAATACAGTGAGTGCTGGACGGAGCAGTGAGTGACAACAACTCCACACACATTTAAGGGTACTGTTTGCAGTGGAAACACTAGGGTCTAGGAACCATGTCTGAAGGATTAAGGCCAAAACACACCGGAGGCGTACGACGCGTGTCAAAACAGCCACCCCCATTATTTTCTATTTACAAACCCACACCAGCGGCGGCTCGACGCGTGTTGACGTGCCACGCCACGGCACTTTACGCTATTGTCCTATTTTTCCAGCGTCGCCACCCTTGAAAAAGCGCTATTTTGTACTTCCCAGCCTAGCTGACTGGAGTGTGCAATAGAAATCCAGTTGACGCCCCGCAGTGCGATGCTTTTTGTGTGTGTTGGGGGCGGCACTTGACTTGCATCAATGACGCCGCCGTCATATGACGCTGCCGGTGTGTTTTGGCCTTTACTTTCAGTTCCAAAGGTACCATACTAAAAGTGTTTGGTGAAAACGGGGCTTTATTGTTTGCATCAGCCAGTAAAGCTTCCTTCATGCTCGGCACACAGAAGTTTCAGTTGGTTGCAATCTGCAACCTCACCACTAGATGCCACTAAATCTTATACTTTGATGTGAAGTGAAGAAGTTAAAGTAAGCATAGTAAGCATAGTCAACTAAAATTCATTAGACAAGATTTAAACCAACCCAGTTTTCACCCGATCCCCTGATCTTGAAGTATCTGGAGTAGGCTACTTGAAAATCTGACATAAAATCTCCAAGTTTGGATTGAAAAAAAAGGGATTTGAAAATATATATTTCTGCAGTTCAATTTTGTCTATTTACTTGGACTCTTTTTGTTTTTTTATTTCCAGACTTTAAAGATATGACTTGGCAGTGGCATTTAAAGGTCCGATGTGTAGGATTTTGGGGTATCTATTGGGAAAAATGGCATATGATATTAAAAGCTCTGTTTTCATTAATTTATAATCACCTGAAAATAGCTACCCCAGCTACCCCCAGTTACCCCTAGTGGGGTGCACAAAGAACTGCCCCCCGTCGTGGCCCAATTGTTGAAAAACGCACGCTAATGTGCCCTCCTGGTTGGCAAAACACACTAAACTGCCTTCTTGGGTGGAAAAAACACACTAAACTCCAGAAGACTATTAGGACCAAGAAATACTATGAAACATTACTGTTGCAATGACTTCTATGTTGGGCCCTTTTTTGATATATTGAGCCAGAACTATATCTCACAGAACCAGTTTGGATTATCTGCTGCTAATATGGTGTTAAAATGCACTAGAATACAGGACCCCCAGACCGCCCCAGGGATTTATTTCCTTCATACATCTGTGTCTCTGTGTGTTCTTCACAGTCCAATGTTGTATCTACACAGTTCTTGTGGATGCTGATCCTAACTACAAACTAACTTGAGTAGTCTGTCTAGTTAGTCTGTTTTAAGGCTATATAATGTGCCATTTGTATAACATATAAACATGTCTAAAGTGCCCTCGAAAACACGCGGAACTTAGTGCCCTCTTCAGTGGCGAGAACGTGCTGTATGTGCCCTTTTTTTTCTTTTTGCCCCTGCCCTTCAAAAAGTCTGTGCACGCCACTGGTTACCCCAGTATGAGCCATTTATGTTGACATAAGGAGTGGGTCCTCTCCCAGGCCATGTTGGTTGACAGTAGCCTGAAAATGGACAAATCAGACACTCTAGATAGGGACTTTCATGTTTTTGAGGCAGCCACCATAATTCTCGTACACTCTTGGTGAACAAGAGGAGTTTGAGTTCTGCAGCCATACTGCAAGATGCCGTTAAATCCTAAACACTAGTACTGTAATGTATTTTACATGCAGATGCAACTATTCTGATGCATTTTTAATCTGTGTGATCCACTCTCCAATAACTACTGCTTACAATATTTGTAAACCACCTAAAAATGTTCACGTCATTTTTCTTCAGTGATGTGGGCTGAAAAATTGGGGAAACAGTTGGGCCACCCGACACAATCAGTGGGAGGGTGGCTGGTGAGTAGGTTGCTCGTAGCACGCAACCGGGTCCTTGAGGAGAATGCTGTGCAGCTGTGCCGGATCCAACCTGATGACACAGTGCTGGAGCTGGGTCATGGCCCGGGTCTGGGTCTGAAGTCAGCTGCCAAACTGCTCACAGATCCCAAAGGCCACCTCATAGGGGTGGATTTCTCAGCATACATGCATAAGGTGAAGTATAAATACTGACAGAAAGGAATAAAGCTTTTGAATGAAGTTTTTATTATCACATGCATGTCTTGAAATCTGTAACCAAAATGGTGTCTTAATGGACAAAGCACAGGACACAGTAACAAGCCTCTGCCTGCCTAAACTAGCCGAGCTGTAAGATTCTCTGTAAAGGACTAGTCTGGGACAAAGTTGCATTTGAAGCTGGAACATTACTCACTTTTAGAATAGAGGAATATTTCTCTTTTTCTTCTCTTACAGGAGGCAAGTGAGCAAATGAAGGACCTTGTGGCCAGTGGGAAAGTGACCCTGCATCACTGTGATGTAGCAGCAATGCCTCTGGAAGACAACACTGTGGATAAAGTCTTTCACTGTAACTGCTACTACTTCTGGCCTGACCTCAGGAAGGGGGCCACAGAGATACACCGGGTAATGAAACCAGGTAGGACATGAGGTTTTACAGTAAGACAGACTTTATTTTCAAAGCACATTCAAATGTAATTCTTCTTTTCTGTCTTGAACCCACCCAGGATGCCTGATGGTGACCACACTGAGGCTGTCTAACGTGGCTGCTTTGGCAGCAAAGCGAGTGATGCCAGGGGAGAACTGGCGCCCGGAGGCCTACATGACAGCTCTGAGAGACTCTGGGTTCACTGATGTCAGGATGGAGGACAGACAGCTGAAATACATTTCTTTTCAAGCTATCTATGCCACTGCCTCAAAATGAGATTCAAATCACACTGCAAGTGAGAGATTTTGTGTCTTCGACCCTACTGATGTGATTGTGAGTTTTTGTGAGATTGAGTGTATTTCTGACCCTCGACTCTCCTTTCTGTGGCAGATTTCAAATGACTAAATGAAAACATATCAAACACAGAAATTCCGTTTAATGAAATACACATTGTTATTTGCATTGATTGTTTTATATGGTGACATGCTGGGGCGCCGAAAAGGGGGGAAAAAGGAGAAGGATCCCCCCCCCCCTCTCTATTTACATAAAATGGTTCAGTCCGACTGGATCAGCAGCAGTGTGCTGGTTATTTTCACAGACAAAGGGTAAGGAGGTGGAGACGGCAGTATGCCTCAAAAATCAGGTAGCCAAAAACGGAAAGAAAGGAAGCTAACAGAGGAGAAAGAAGCAAAGGGTCGACAGTATGTCACCCAGTATTTCAAAAAGCAAGGTGGGTTTGTTAGTGGTTCATGTGGTGGAAAATTATGGAATATTAACTTTGTCCGTGGTCTGTAAGCTAGCTCACTTTTCTCCCCATGTTAGCTCATATTTCTGAAGAAAACTGGATTTTTACATTCCACTGTTGTTTTAGTTAAATAATCAGTACAGTCAAACGTTTAGCAAGCTGCTCATATTCAATCAGTTGACCTCCCCTCTGTCAAAATGATGCCTCGTTCTGAACAGATACGTCAAGTGCAGCAGCAGCAGCAGCAATCTGTCAGCCCCCAACTATTCCTGCCCCTGAACCAGTACCCCCACATGAGGAAGGAGGTGAGCAGCTGTGTGTTGAATTAATAATAATGATAAACTTTATTACAGACTCAAATGTCAGATAAGAACAAAAAACAATACACACAAAAGATATAAAAGATGAATCTATTATTATGGAAAAGATTAATTAAAATAAATGAAATAAAAATTGTTCTGAACAATTTTTATGGTTTAACTTTTTTGTTTTGTTAAAATTCAGCTCTCACTGAAATAAAAGAATTGCAGTAGGAACAGAGGAGAAAATTTGTGGAGTGTGCAGCAGACTGGGTGACTGCTCTCAATCCAATCAGAGAAATGTTTACATATTCTGGAAATCAGAAGATTAAATAGATTAACGACCATATAGCCTCATATATGTATTTTTTCACCCCAAATGCCACCACCTGTGAGTCTACAGTTTTAAATTAGACCTTCTTTTTTTCACAAATATGGGAATGATAGTCAAAAATACCATCAAAATGCATAGTTTTATGTAAAATAGCATCAAAAATTTTCGCCCCGTCTCCCGGCCGGCTGTGTTGGTAGCCCAGTAAAAAAATTTTCATGGGGCCCAAAATCCCTGGCGGCGCCCTTGCCTGTGAATGACCGTCCAGTTGAGTTCAAGATTGATACTGGAATGTCTCAGTGTACATTCAACAGCCTACCTCAAAAGCCCCGCCTAGTCAGGACCAGACCCAGCGCCACCAGCCCAGGCGGAGAGGTAAAATGCATTGGGAAATTCCTGGCAGTCAGCCAGTATGAAAAGCAAAAAATACTCACATTGGGTAACAGTCATCCATGGACAGTTCAAACAGAACTTATTGGGGAAAAGTGTTGCTAAGAGAATGGGTCTCATTGCAAGAGTTGGAGCAGTCAACAGCAGAGTTCAGCGACATATTCGGGGACATAGGGCTCATGAACTGTGATCCAGTTAAGATTGAGTTAAAGGCGGATGCAGAGCCCTACGTCACAGCAACACCCCACCATGTGCCATTTCCTCTCCTCCCCAAGGTTGAAACCGAGCTAAAGAGGATGCTAGCTTTGGGCATCATTTAAGAGGTAACTGAACCCACTGACTGGTGTGCGCCTATGGTGCCAGCAGCTAAAAAGAACTCAGAGGCCGTCAGAGTGTGTGTCGACCTCAAACGCTTGAACAAAGCGGTCAAGCGTGAAAGATACATGCTGCCCACGCTGGACGACATCTAGGGCTGGGCGATCATACGATCTCAATTCGGGATTGCGATAAAATTTTGATCAATCTCAATTATCAGCATGGGACGTTTTGATCATACGGCAAAAGTAAGCGCAACAACAGCATATCAGAGTCTGCCGGCTACCATATGCCATGCAGGCAGGATACGCCCACTTCTCATTGTAAGCGTGGCCACAGTTGTGACGGGAGGTAAACAGAGAGAGAAGTTGGAAAAAGGAGAAAAAATTAGTGACACTGAAGTCGAGGACGGCAAAAATAATGCAGAATGTGAAAGCGACATCACTATATCATCCGGAACCGAAGATATTGTTGAAAAAAAGAGATAACGTGACGTCAGTTGTGTGGAAGTGGTTTGGATAACGTTACCTCAAAAGTGACGAGGAGCAGATGAAGCCAGTCTGCAAAATATGCTGGCGGTTGGTACCAACCAGGTCAGGAAACACCACAAACCTTTTCAATCACCTGAGACGGCACCATCCCAGTGACTACACAGAGAGTCTAACTATGCGGCCTCAAGTTGCCCCAACTCCACACACACAGCCTAGCAAGACCCCTTCATTTGCTGTTAGCATCGCTAGCGGCAGCTTTGCAAAACAACAGTCTATCCAGTCGTGTTTTGCAGCCATTACCCCATATAGAAGCATTCAAAGCAGTAAGTTTATATACAGTGTTTCAATAAGTTAAAGCTTTTATTTGACATTGCTTCTCGTTCTTTGAGTTTACATATGGCTAAAGGGGAAAAAACAACTAACCGTAAACGGACAGCATGATTAGTGTTGCGTTCAAGGTCCCCCCAAAAAACGGGAGAAAAAAAAAGGCTGAATATTCGATTTTTTTTCTCATTCGAATCCTGTGCCATCGAAGAAAGCTTCGAAGCTTCGAATCTTTTGGGTCAGCCCTAAATCCTACATGCAAGGGGCTAGCCATAAGGTTGTTGTTTTCAGCAAGTTGGCCTTGAATAGCTGATGTTGAGCTGTAGAGCTGTGTTACTTGTTATGACCTGCCTTTGGGTTGATTTATTCTTTCAAGCTTTATTCCTTCTCATCTTATCTGAGTTCTGTTGTATATTTGTGTTCCATAGATTTAATTGCAAACTACAGCTGTTTAGTAAGTTAAAGATGTGTTGCTGCTAACGACAGCCTGAAGTGGGGATGAGGTCTTAAGGTTTTTGGAAGGTCTTAAAAAAGTCTTAAAAAGGTATTGAAATTAACCTCAGGATTCCTGCATATACCCTGTAACAACATTTTGTTCTCAATATTGGAAAAGCATATTTTTTAGTGTTTTATGTTATTAAACTTTTATTGTTAAGTTTCAATGAATCTCTTGTTTCTTCAAGCTCCAATCAGGATGCTCCCCGAGCTGGCAGAATCAGCAAAAACTACATATCGTGATAAAAATCGAGATCGATCAATATGAGCTAAAGTATTCTCCACGCTGGACACGTCAAGCGGCTTCTGGCAGATCCCCCTAGACCCTGGTAGCCGGAAACTGACTACATTTATCACACCGATGGGCAGGTTTTGTTTCTGCCGCCTGTCTTTCGGGATCTCTTCAGCTCCAGAAATTTTTCAGAGACTGATGTCTGACCTGCTAAAAGACCACGAGGGGGTCGTGGTCGTCATGGACGATGTGCGAGTGTATGGGTCAAGTGAGGAAGAGCACGACCAACACTTGGAGACGGTCCTGTGGACTATAAAGCAGTCCGGCCTTAAACTAAAAAGGTCAAAGTGTCACTTCAACAAGACAGAGCTGCCCTATTTTGGACACATCATAAGTGCAGGAGGCATAAAGCCTGACACTAGCAAAGTCAGGGCTATTACGGAGATGCCCAGACCAACTAATGTCGGAGAGTTATGTCAGATGCTGGGCTTCATCAATTATGTGGGGAAGTTTCTCCCTGGTCTCTCCACCACGCTTCACCCACTCAATGAACTGCACAGGACCAAGCGCTGGAAAAAGCCAAAGCCAGGCTCTCATCAGCACCTGCACTCGCCTATTATGACTCCAACCAGCGGACTGTTGTCAGTGCAGATGCCAACAGTTATGGTCTGGGGGCTGCACTGCTGCAAGACCACAATGGTGAGCTGATTGATCATTTTGTTGATAGCGCCGTAGGCTCGCTGCGAACAACACTCGACTCTGTAGCTCCTCTTAAAAAGAAGTTAACAAAGCAAAGAAAGTTCGCTCCTTGGTATAACTCTCAAACCCGTAAGTTAAAACAAATATCACGAAAGTTTGAAAGGAATTGGCGATTAACCAAACTGGAAGAATCTTGTTTAATCTGGGAAGACAGTCTCAAAACTTATAAGAGGGGCCTCCGCAATGCTAGAGCAAACTATTACTCAGCTTTAATAGAAGAAAACAAGAATAACCCCAGGTTTCTTTTCAGCACTGTAGCCAGGCTGACTGAGAGTCAAAGCTCTATTGAGCCTTGTATTCCTTTAGCCCTTAGCAGTAATGATTTTATGAGCTTTTTTAATGACAAAATTCTAACTATTAGAGGCAAAATTCATGACCTCCTGTCCTCAGATAGTACC